AAACTGAAGACAGGAAATGACTCAGCCACAATTCCAGGAGGGAGTTCTAGTTAGGTGAGTTGTAGATGATACTATGGCCTGGGAAACTCATTATGTACAGAGGACAAGATTCTAGGAGCTGATTGCAGAGCGTCCTCAGGAGTCATGGACACAAAGTCTAATGAAAATAATATAAAAAATATTCTCCTCTTGGGGCGCCTGGGTGGCTCAGTCTGTTGAGTGTCTGACTTTGGCTTAGGTCATGATCTCACAGTTCATGGGCATCGGGCTCTGTGCTGTCAGCATGGAGCCTGGGGCCTGCTTCAGATTCTGTGTCTCCCTCTCTGCCCCTCCTCTGCTCACGCTCTGTCTCTCTCTCTCTCTGTCTCTCTCTCAAAAATAAAGAAACATTAAAAAAAAATTTTTTTAAATTCTCTCAGAGGAGAAAATCTTGGTGTCTTTTACTTTTGATACTCAGGGTAAAAAGTCAATTATAAAAACAAGAACAAGGGGCACCTGGCTGGCTCCATAGGTGGAGCTTGAGACATCTGATCTCAGGGTTGTGAGTTAGAGCCCCACATTGGGTGTAGAGATCACTTAAAAATAATTTAAAAATCTAAACAAAAACAAAATAAGAACTCAGGGCAGTTTTAGTCATTGACCCTTGAAATAGCTGAAATAATGGTAGTAAAAATAATACAAAAAGATCGAGGTGAAGGAAAAATATACCTGTTATTCTGAATTTAAATTATTCATCATTTTTTAGGAATATTTATTTATTTTTGAAAGAGAGAGAGAGAGGCAGAGAGAGAGGGGGACAGAGGAGCCAAAGCTGGCTCTGTGCTGACAGCCATCAGGCTGTAGGGCGTGAACTCACCTGCTGTAAGATTGTGACCTGAGCCCAAGTCAGTCACTTAGGTGACTGGGCCACCCAGGCACCCCTAAATTGTTCATCATTTTGAGGAGATTGCACCGTTCCAGACACTGGGAGTATAGTTACAAACAAGAGGGGCATGGCTCCTACCTCTCTAACAGGCTGCAATCCTCAGATACATGACTATGATCTGGGAAGAACATGGCCAAGGACTGCGTTATTGGCATTTATAAAACCATGGTGAAAGCAAGTGTAGACATGTTCAACTGGAATTCTTCAAATAGGAAGCACTTGAAATTTTATTTCCTTATTATTTTAAAATGTTTATTTTGAGAGAGAGAGAGAGAGAGAGAGAGAGAGAACACATGTGTGCTTGCAATCACAAACCGTGATCATGACCTGCGCCGAAATCAAGAGTTGGATGCTTACCAACTGAGCCACCCACCTAGGAGCACTAGCACTTGAGATTTTAAAAGTGAATCTAATTCAGGGATCTAAAAAGCTTCTTAGCAAAGTAATACTTTGCCAAGGGAAGGGAAGGAAAGCCAAAGGGGTACAGTATCTGTTAAATTCTTGTGAAATGAAATAGTACTATGTTTTTGAGGAACCAAAAACAGTGCAGATTGGCTGGAGAGAAGAATGGGTGCCATGATAGCGTAATGGCAGATTAGGTGATAGAGTGGATCTAGAATTTGAAGTATTTTTATATGCTATGCTACAGTTCAGGCTTCATTCTAAATCTGAGGATGACTCAAATATTTTAAGCAGGGAATAACAGAATCAGATCTGCCTTCTGAAGATCCCTCAGGCATCAGTGGTAGTGGAGGTAAGGGAAGAGTAGAGGTGTGAACATTAAATTTAACACATGAATTAAGATGATGGAATAGATATGAAATAGATAAGTAATAAAAATGAAGGATGTTACTGAGAAAGGGATTGGATATGAGAGTTGAGTGAAAGAAAGGTACTAGAACAATTGCTAGACCTTGGGTTTGAATATGCCACTTAACAAGATAGGTAATAGAAAAGAAACAGAATTGTTTGTTTTTGAAGGTGGGGAGGAAAATAGAAGGATTATAAATCTAGTCTTTACTTGAGCTTGAGGTACCAGTAGGAAGTACAAGTGCACATGTTCTTCTTCAGTTGAGGACAAAGATCAATCACAACTGCTCACACATGTTTCTTGGGAGACATATTTTGTAACTTTTTATGTGTTATCAGTCCCCTCAAAAAGGAAGAGCAGTGAATAAGCAGGTTGTATGTTGGTCACTATAAAATGGAGAAATAGTACTTTAATAATATGGAAACATAGTTCTTAATAATATGTGACCTAAGACCCCAGTTCATATACAAATAAAACATGGCAACATGGGTTACAAGTCCAATGCTGTCCATTAAACTGTAATAACAGTAAAGCAGACATGATAAAATAAGATGTACTATTTTTATCTTTTTGAAATTATACCTTGAGTGGTTGTGTGTATTCCATAGTGATAATTTTATTGGTAGTAGAGAAGAAAATAAGTTAATGCCATCAGTTTTATGTGCAATTTTCCTGCACAGCTTTAATTGTTAACATCTTTTCCTTATTATATCGTTAAATATTACTTTTGTCCTAATTTTCAGTCAAGAGGTTAGTAGCTATATTAACTTTCTTTAGAAGCTTATTAGCTCATTAAGAATGTTTCCTGTCAACCTAAGCACATAAAAACACACACTATGGTACTTAAAAGATTAAGCTTGTATATTCATTCAAACATCGTTTAATGATCCAGGAAAACATCTTCCGCTGTTCATCTAGGATTTTACGTTGTATTCACGATGCGTTTATTTTCTATTTTCATCAAAAGATTCTGCTATGAATCCTATTTGTAAACCCATTCATTCTAAAACATTGCATTTTTAGTCTAAGTCCCTTTCAAAGTTATCTTTCTCCCTCAACGCATCACCGTCAAGATCTAAAGTTTTTCACTATCCCTTCTCCCAAGAAAAAAATGAAAACATTCGTTCCTGCTCCTCCCCCCACCCCCACAACCCACCCCAGATAGGAAAGAAGAGGCGAGGCAAACTGGAACAAGTTGCGACGGGCGACCCAAAGCGCAGAATTAGCTAAATCCGGGCTCGAAACGGAGACCGGGATCAGTCACCATGTCCGGAAGGATCTGGGCTATCTGCCAAAAGAGAACGTCCCCAAAGCCTCAGAAACTGACTGGTGCTAAGAAACCAGAGAAAGAACGAGTGACAAGCACAGAAAGAGGCCCGACCCTCTGGGACATCCTGAAACACGCAAGGAATGCAAAAGCAACGTCAGGAATCCGGGACCGGCTGCGGCTGGCCAGAGCGCCCAGCCAGGTTAAAACCCAGCTCTGTAGGCAGGCATGCTGCTGAGACCCTTGGGTGGGGAAAGGCGCCCTGGGGGCTTGGTGACTGAGCGACGGAAATTGTTGGCAGCATGAGACCGGTTGGCTCCCAAAAGCGCGAGTGGCTCACGTTCCGGTACCCACACGGAGACACCCGGAGCAAGTCTGAGGGAGGGCCTAGGGGCGGGGCTAGAGCTCATACCCAGCCTCAAACGCCAACCCTTACTGAGTCTTCAGTACGCCTGCGTATGGTGAGGCCGCACTCTATTTGGCTGCTGGGCGTGCGGCGGCAGCGGCGTTCTCTACCCGGCATGCTGCGCGGTTGTGACGGCCCTACGTCTATCCCCTTCCCAACCCAGCCCCCTC